TGACTGACCCACACCCAACTGACTGACCCACACACAACTGACTGACCCACACATAACTGACTGACCCAACTGATGGAACTAGAACAATTTATGACAAAGTATTAATTATATATATTAGCACTATATTCATGTTACATATAAATTAAAACATTTAAATAAAAAGTTTGATAAGCAAGGACATATGATCACTCTATTTTTAATACATTTTACATCAATGTAACATGCATGATTTCCCTTGCCTGTAGGGTGACAGTTGGAGTCATGTGATGTCCATGACATATGGGAACATAGCAAACATGGCTTAGGCTACTAATCATACAGTAGATTCTCCAAAGAAAAATGATAACTTTTTTATTAAGACTTCACAATTTTTTTTTAGATATAAACCCATTGAGACATAATAAACAATAGGGTGGTAAAAAGTACTAAAATGACTTTAACCCATAAATGTAACAGCTTAGTCTGTCTGTCTAATGAACAATTAGATTTACAATTAGTACTGATGATTTAGACATATGATTATTGATGATCATTTGATTCATGATTAATTTTAGAAATAAATCACTTGACTTTCTCTTGAATATATTATCACGATTTCCAGAAAATATCTAGTTTTAAAAAGAACGCTGTATTTTTATTGGGTTATATCAGATAGGGATAAGTTTAGTAAAAAAGATTTGTTGGTTGTATAGAAAAAACGTTAAAGGTTTCAAAAAAAGCATTAAGAGATAATATTTTATAAGAACTACCAGAGTGTTCCAGTGATGATGATCTGGTGTATGTAAAAACCTGGGTAATTTTTACAAAAGTTTTACAGCACACGCGTCTCAACTTTGTAGACAACACATGATATGACACGGGTACATAAAGTTGAATATTCCAGCACACCCATCAGCGTACATACAAGGCTTGAAGTTGAAAAAGTTTAAAGGCAAAAAGTATGTGTAAACGTAATTATCATTGCTGTGTACGTACACAGTTTATTATTAAGTAGTGGATGGGAGCAATGACTTTTATCCTGTGGGCCTCACATTCAATGATTCTCAGCCCTTATAATACGTGGCCCTGACATGTCACACAATGGTATGGCAGTGGTATGAGGGTGTGCCCTAACATAAGGTATGTCATATTTGTGGCAGGTGCGCTTCTTTCGGTGGTCCTATATAAGAGAACTGGACATGACTGAAATGCTGAAGTATTGAATAGAATGACCATAAGAAGGGGTCAACAATAGAAAGCTTATAAATTCCCTGGACTGGACTGGAATGTTCTGTAGTAATATGGTCAATCAATGATCAGTTCAAGCAAGAAGATTTAATGGAGGAAAAGAGACAGAACAACACCACAGATTTCACCCAGAAATTTTCAGTCACTAATCAGACATCAGCTACTGATGAGTCGATAGTTAGTGAAGTCTTCTGGTCAGCAGTAGTCATTACAATATCCCGTCTGGTCCATCAGTGGTCACTTTAGCCCAATGCAGTCTGCCCATAGTCACTCAGGCATGACATAGTGATGAGGAAGTTATCTTGAAAAATAACTAGGTATTTACAGATTTAGTAGCCACAATGTTCTCATTTAGATAATACTCTTCAAAACGCTGCTGTAGTCTTTAAATTTAATCCAATTGATCTACCCAGAATAATAAACAAACATTGTGAAACTATGTCAACAGATCAATGGAAATCCTTGACTCTTAGTGCTCCCTATTTTGTGTTACAGTGCCCAATATATTTTTTTTAAAGTTCTTGGTAACCGTAATTATGAAAAAAAAAGTCTTGGTAACCCTAATTATTAAAAAAAATTCTTAAAATAATATAGAAAAAAAAGAGGGCAAAAGCCTCAAGTTTGAGGACCACTGTCTTAAACCATGGAGATTCTAAAGCAGTGAAATCTAAAATATATATTTTCATAAAAGATATTGCCCTAATGGACCGGAATAAATACAACAAAAAAACTCTGTCTGACTGTTGGCTGAGAATCACATGATTGAACCAGACAGAGCGTCAACAAATAGATGGCTCTAAGTATCAAAGCAAATGTTTGGCAGCTTGGTTTGGCGACACCCTGCCAGAGGTTGACAGTAACATCAAGAAATGAAATGTACAATGGAATGAATAGAAGAAGGAAATTTGAGCAGTGGACTCGGTGCTCAGTGGTGAATGGCAACAGGTAGTCGGCGATAGTTTTTTAACAGGTGATCAGTGACAGTTATTGACAGGTGACCAGTGAAAGCTATTGCTGGGAAATCTGTAACAGTTACCGACAGGTGATCAGTGACAGTGGTGAGTTAAAGTGCCAGACTTAAACATTGAACAAATTTCTTATTTTCAACCAAGGGTTTATTTCAATGAGTGGCTAGACACTCTGAATGATCACTCACCATTAAACCATAGAGATAGCCATTAGTTGCAACACAACAAATCACATAACATGCACATTGGCCTGGTAAGCCAAAGCTAGGAATGCAATAATCGCTTAGTTTTTTTGTTGTTTTTTTTGCACAATAGACATGATAGTTTATCAGTTTTGTTATTAGTAGAGTTGTATAATAAGTTGAGTTCAAATAAAATTTGGATGGGAAAAATGGGAAATATTTTGATTACCTCTATTGTTTTTGTATCGATAAAGTGGGTGTCCCATGTAAAGCTAACATAACCACTTGGGTGTCCCATGTTAAGCTAACATAACCACTTGGGTGTCCCATGTGAAGCTAACATAACCACTTGGGTGTCCCCTATGAAGCTAACATAACCACTTGGGTGTCCCATGTGAAGCTAGCACAACCACTTGGGTGTCCCATGTGAAGCTAGCACAACCACTTTACAAACAGGTGGGTTACATCCATCAAGCCAATCCTAACTGTTTTAATATCAAGCAACAATATTTTTAACACAGACCCAGGAACTCCCTGACTCAATCTCACAATTCAGCATTCTTTGGACTCCAACTAGGCTAATCTCACCATGGACCACATGACTAATCTCACCATGGACCAAAAGGCTAATTTCACCATGGACCACAGGCTAATCTCACCATGGACCACAGGCTAATCTCAAAGTGGACCATGAGGCTCATTCAGCATGTAGCGAAAAGCTTATCTCACTATGGACCCTGCGGCTAATTTCACAATGGACCAAAAGGCTAATCTTGTTTATGGACCACAAGCCTAATCTCACCAGGTTGACATAATACATTCCTTTGGTCAGTGGTTACAACTAGGTGTAGACTGGGTGTGACTGTGTTCTCTCCAACAGTCTTCATTTTAAAAGCACTGTTCAGTCACTGGCTGTTGGTGATTACAGGCAACATGGCAGGTAAAACCATACTTTCAAACCAGTCTTCTGTAACTGAACATCTTCAATACATTACCTGATTCAACAGATAGCCAAGATTGAGATAAATCCAAGCAAAAACAACTTCTCAAGTATCTGAACACACAATAGTGTTTGCTGGATGCAAAGACACTTAGCTTATTATAACTGCACATTTCAAAATAATAATAATAATACTCATCCGTTTGGAAATAATGCACAGGTAATCCAAAAGTAATTTTTGTACTAGAAATTAGGTCATTTTGTCGACATTAGCCAAGCCCAGTGACCTGGACTTAAAACATTGTTATCCATGTCAGGTGAGCTGTGGGTGGTGTATGGCAAACCTAAACATTGGTCTCTCTATCAGGTGAGCTGTGGGTGGTGTATGGCAAACCTTAACCTTGATCATCCTGTCAGGTGAGCTGGGGGTGGTGTATGGCAAACCTAAACGTTGGTCTCTCTGTCAGGAGAGCCGGGGGTGCTGTCAGGCAACAGATCCACACTGGCGAACCTGACACCGAGCTGATGGTGGAAGTCTGATTCATCGGTCTCTGCAGCAGCTGCTGACATCTCTACAATAGTGCTGAATGACTGCTGGACCAGATCCTCATGCTCAGAATGACCGCGCAAGGAGTTCCTATGGACCGAATCAAATGAAACTTCATCATCGGTGACACCGCTCAAGATGGAGCCCCTGCGACTTCTAGCTTCAGAACTGGTGTTTTGGAAATGTTGCTTAATTTGTCCCATGATGGGTCGAGACAAATGCTCAGTACTGGACACCTGATGGGTTGGGGAGGCTTCGTGTTCAGATATTGAGTCAGAGTCAGATTTGTCAATGGCCTGGGAACGAGTCAGGTTTCCAACGTGATCATGGTGGGGAGCGCTTTGGTGCGGAGGGCTTTGGCCCGGAGCTGGAGGGTTAGAGTCGAGGGAAAATACCACATGCTGGGTCTGTTGTGATCGCTGAGGTGTTGTGTCCGTGTGGGGCTGGTCTTGATGCGTGGCAAGAGACTGACTCTGAGAGTCCAGCTCCAGCAGTGTGTCAGTGGACATTGAGGAATAATCTGATCCAGGCACAAACTCAGATGAACCTGCGGGAGTGGGGTGGAGCTGGACACTGCCCAGAAGAGGAACAAATTCTCCAGAACATTGAGGAGTTACTTGGGCTCTTGGTCCATCGATAACTTGAATAAAGGGGGCCATTTCTGAAAATGAAATGGGCATTTTGGAATCTTGAGATGGTTTAGCCGTCGTCCGAGTTTCTTCTATGTGAAGAGAATCAGAGTGGACTTTACTAGAGTAGCCAGAGCCAGACGAGGACATAGGCTCAGAGTTAAAGTCATGCTCATTCAGATTATCTTTAGAGATAGTGTAGGTGTGCCCACCACCAGCAGAAGATAACAAGGGAGTATGGCAGCCTGGGCTGCCCATGGGGCTGTCGGCTCCCAACTGAAATATGGGTCGGCTGTCCACCATGTCCAAACTGCCTTTACTGTCCAGCTCCCCTTCCTCCTGAACACTGGAAAGCTCTACAACAACCTGAGACAACTCTGTTTCTCCATCCTCCTCGCACATCTCCTCCTCCTCCTCTTCCGACTCCTCCACGAATCCCGACACAGCAGACTTGAGAATGGCTGTTTCGTAGGACAGCTGCTGGACAATGCTGTCATTTCTGCGCATCTTCCTCTCTCTGATTTTCTGCAGCTCTGTCCTGGGTCCGAACCGACTGCTGCTGTTTGGCTCCTGCAGGCTCATGCTTCGACTGACCTTGTTATTGCTGAGAGTCGACGAGTGCTCGCTGTAGCTGATCCCCGAGCTGGACTGTGAGAGGGCGGCAGTCTGGGATGTGTCCACCACATCAGTTTTGCTCTCCTCCTGGACCTCCGTGAGGCTCTCGGCCGCCATCAGGCAGAGGACAGCGCTGCGGAACAGCTGCCAATCCCCGAATCTCATCTTGACAACAGGCTGAAGTTCAGAGAGGTCGCACATGGTGAGAACAAGGCCAGATACATTGTTCTCCCTGATGCTGGCCTGATATTCAGCCACATGGTTAGGACTGAGCCCTCGGAGCCGGGCCAGGAGATCACATATATCATCCACTGAACACTTGGACAGGTACACAGGTTTAAAGTAATTCTAGGAAAAAAGAAAGAAAAAAAAAATTGTCCAAATCCGATTTATTTTTTTTACCAAGCAATGAGTGGCAAATACTTTTTTAAAGTTATAAAGCAGGATTCTATTGAAGAAAATAGCTTGCCCGAATATATGGATAATTGACCCCGTAAGTAGTTCAACCCTGACCACTCTTGCCCTCCAGTACTTCCCAAAGGATGAACTATTGCCCATCCCAAAGGATGAACTATTGCCCACTGCAAACCACTCATGGTAACCATAACGTTTTTTTAAAATGTAAAACTTGAGTTACTTACTGAAAATCCATTTATACATATTTTAATTTGATTAGGCGGATTTTCTTGTAACATAATTTTCTTTATTTACAATAGTGGTTTCCAAACTGGGGACTCTACCCCTCTGGAATTTATGCAAGTTCAAAGGTTAGGGGGCCAAACTTTAATATATGCCTACAAATGTGAAGATATTACTTGATGAACTAAGAGTGTGCTGAGGTTTTGTTTGAAATGAGGACTTCAAGATATAAAAAAATTTCATTATATTAACATCCGAAAACCTCCAGTTGATATTTCAACTATTGGGCTGCCTTTAAGTAAAAAAGCAAGACTTACCGTGAAGAAGTCTTTAGGTGTCTTAACATTGGACTTGTTGGCCAGCGTGTTGGTGCTGGACTGGGCTGACTGTTGGGCATACAAGGCCTGCTGACCCTGCAGGTAGGAGGGCATCAGGTAGGGATTGTGCATGGCCGCGGCCAGAGGCAGGGCCTGCTGATTGCCGTACATGCCGTACATCAACTGTTGATGTCCAGAGTTGTACCGGGCAGGAGATGAAAGCAGGGATGTGCGGTCTTGGTTGGCTTCCCTTATGAAGTTTCCATACATGGCAGGCGGCGGTGGGGGGGGAAAGACACCCCCAAGGGTGGCCATCTCTGCTTGGTGGCGCTCCATGTTGTGCTGGGTCTCTGTGGGGCACACATTTTGAAAAAAAGATGACAAATTATATGAGAATAATAAGGAAATACTTGAACAAGGTATGTGAAAGCGTGAAATGAAAAGACAGGACATCAAAAAGAGAAAGTTTTGGCTAAGAGTCTTCTTCAGCAGACAGGGCAAAAGACAAAACAAGACACAACAAGAAATAGAATACAGTAAATGTTTGGAGGTGGCCATATATGCTAGGATAATAAGAAAAGGCTGAGAGGCCATCAGTTTATTGTGCACATACTGAATGGTGTGGTGGGAGGTGACATACTGAATGGTGTGGTGGGAGGTGACATACTGAATGGTGTGGTGGGAGGTGATGTACTGAATGGTGTGGTGGGAGGTGATGTACTGAATGGTGTAGTGGGAGGTGACATACTGAATGGTGTGGTGGGAGGTGACATACTGAATGGTGTGGTGGGAGGTGACATACTGTATGGTGTAGTGGGAGGTGAGGTACTGAATGGTGTGGTGGGAGGTGACATACTGAATGGTGTGGTGGGAGGTGACATACTGAATGGTGTGGTGGGAGGTGATGTACTGAATGGTGTTGTGGGAGGTGATGTACTGAATGGTGTGGTGGGAGGTGACATACTGAATGGTGTGGTGGGAGGTGACATACTGAATGGTGTGGTGGGAGGTGACATACTGTATGGTGTAGTGGGAGGTGACGTACTGAATGGTGTGGTGGGAGGTGACGTACTGAATGGTGTGGTGGGAGGTGATGTACTGAATGGTGTGGTGGGAGGTGACGTACTGAATGGTGTGGTGGGGGGTCATTTGATTCAGAGACTTGGAGTACAATTGCATACAGAGTTGAGCCCAACTAATGTGGGTAAAGAATTCAGTGGTAACATCTGTGCCCGTTGTTGGCCTAGCTGTCCAAAGGTACATGCCAATTTCCTTGAGAATTTGCTACTAAGCTCTAGATGCAAGTCTTTCTCTCTTGGATGTGAGTTTTAATTAAATAAATTTTAAATATGTACGGGAAACGTCTGAAAACAGGGCGGTTTACTAAAAGTATTTCTTTAAAACCTGTCTTCTAGGTCCTAACAGTGTGTCTTTCAGAAATTTTCCCGGGTGGGGGGGGGGGCCTTCAGATTTTTTTTTGGGGGTGGGGCACACTGCAAGTTGATTTATTGTTGGACATATTTTTGCTCCAAGGGGGGTGGGGGAGGGGCACTTGGCTTTCCCCGGTTATAGCTGAAAGTAACCCTGGGTCCTAATGTATCAAAAAACTGACCTCTGATTAACTTTCGCAGGTAAGGATCCAAGTTGATAGTACAAGGGAGAAACTTCTGCAAGTTGATTTATTGTTGGACATATTTTTGCTCCAAGGGGGGTGGGGGAGGGGCACTTGGCTTTCCCCGGATATAGCTGAAAGTAACCCTGGGTCCTAATGTATCAAAAAACTGACCTCTGATTAACTTTCGCAGGTAAGGATCCAAGTTGATAGTACAAGGGAGAAACTTCTTCAAGTCTGCCACATTCAGTAGGGGAAAATTTCCAGACTTTGATGTCAAACTGGCTTCAAGTTTGCGGACATTTCTGTCAATTTCTAGAAGTGGATCTTGTTCTTTGGTGGAGGGAATGCTTGGTGCAATGCTGAAACATAATAATAATAATAAAGTTTATTTGAAAATCACGCTTCATCCCCAAAGGCTCGAAGCGCTGTACAAAGTCAGCCATATTAAAAGAGGAATAAAAAAAAATCTATATTATAGCATGTTGATATACAAAACACAACATTGCAAAAGCTACATACGAGAAAACCCATTCTAAGTCTTTCATCCCTTTCAACCATAAACTACACAGGTCAATATACATCTAGGAGATAATAGCCAGCTGGTAAAGATGGTAGACAACATCACCCCAACAGGTGTTTGCGAAATAGATGTGTTTTCAATTTGGTTTTGAAAGACTCCACTGTCTGGCTGTTTCTGAGAGCGTCAGGAAGTGTGTTCCAAATTGTTGGGCCAGCAAATGCGAAAGTGTGCCTTTCATAAGTCTCCAGGCGAACACGTGGTATCGCGAGTTTGCCACTATCGGATGAGCGGAGTTGTCTAGTGGGTACATGAGCACTTTGAGATAGGATGGTGCCAGGTCATGCAAGCAGCGGTAGCACAGAGTTAAAATTTTGTACTCTATGCAACTCTCTCAGAAGTGTTTTAGCATGGTCAAATTTGCGTTTGCAAAGAACAATGCGAGCCGCATTATTCTGTGCTTTTTTTATTTTATCCAGGAGCGTAGCTGGGAGACCCACCATGAGAGCATTGCAGTAGTCCATGCGTGATAACACGGATGCAGACATCAGCCTCTTTGATGCATCAAACGTTAAGAAAGGTCTGATATGACTAATTCTGTGCAGCTCTAGAAAAATCGCCTTGCAAAGCATGTTAATGTGATTTTCCATAGTTAGTGTTCTGTCTAAGCAGACACCCACGTTTCGCACTGTTTGAGCAAACTCAATCTGTATACCTGAGAGAGTAAAGGATGATGTGTTATTTACAGATTTTAGCTTTTGAGCGATAGCAATGGGGATCAGTTCGGTCTTTTCATCGTTCAATTTGAACTTGTTTATGTTCATCCAGTGCTTAACTGACTCCACTGCCTTCTGTGTCATACTAAGAAGCTGTGGGAACTGAGAGGGGATCATGGATTGCTGAAGTTGGGTATCATCCGCGAACATGTGATATAGGATGTCAAACTGCTTGATCACTGCACCCAGTGGCTGAACGTACATAGTGAAAAGCACCGGGCCTAGGACCGAGCCCTGGGGTACTCCGAATTTGATAATAGATTGCCTCGAGATCAGGCCGTTTGCGATAACTGGTTGGACCTGATTAGAGAAATTCGTTCTCCGATTTGTCATATAGGAGTGGAACCATCTCAGGACGTTATCGCTGAAACTGAAGTTTTTTGCTGACGCTGGAGAAGTATGCCGTGGTCAAGCGTATCGAACGCTGCCGATAGATCAAGTAACGACAAAAGGGAAACCTGGCCCTCACCACAAGATGACAGAAGGTCATTTACGACTCGCAACAGAGCTGTCTCTGTAGAGTGATGCGCCCTGTATGCTGACTGGAAAGGCTCAAGCTAGTCACACTGAAAGAGGTGGTTCAGGAGCTGGTGGAGAACGAATTTCTCTTAAATTTTGGAAACAAAAAGTAGATTTGAAACGGGGCGATAATTTTCCAACATATCTGGGTCGAGATTTGCTTTCTTTAGCATTGGAGTTACAACGGTCTCTTTAAAAGAGAATGGAACAATACCAGTTTTCAAAGACTGATTTATGATACTAGTTATGATAGGCATACAACGGGCAAGAGACTTGTGGAGGGAATGCTTGGTGCTTTACTAAAACATACAACAGACAAGGGATTGGCATGACAATATGTTTGTAACATAATTTTTTGTATAAGGTCCTCAAACTACAGCCCATAGGGCCAGATTCAGCCCACCAAGGGTCTTTAGTCCGACCTGCATGGCCACCTTACAGGTACCCAGGTAGCAGTGACATTGACCATCTAGATGGTCAAATGTTGGCCTATAGTTCACACTGAAGTAAGAGTAATTGTATAATGATTTAACTAGATCTAGTTCTTCATTGGAAAGATTCAATTGTGTTTCATTCTTTTTTTAAATTAAAGAAAATATGTGCATATGATTTCTATCAAATTTCTATTGTTTTCAACTATAGGGCGGCTCTCAACAGTGTCTGAGGGAAAGTGACACCCCCCCCCTCCTCTCCCCAGTTAAAAGGTTTGATGACCCCTGGTGCGGGGCAAAGTGGTTAGAGTTGCGGCTCACCGTTTGTACAGAGAGTAGAGCGAGGCAGAGTTCTCTATGACGTCAGCCTCTTCATAAAAGTATATGATCCAAGAGAGCCTGTAAGGCCACTGCTCTGTCAGGTTGATCCAGGCGGCCAGCCTGTGCCACTTGAAGTCTATGTTGTAGGCCCTCAACAGCCGGGCTGACAGGAGGAAAGTGACAGGTTAACATTTGACACAGATAACATGGGGCTTGGTAAGGTCTACTTTATTTGAAAGGATTCGTTGGTCTGCTTGGCAGGACACAAGGCAAACTTGCAAATAAAGGGGGGGGATGAAATCACACAGATCCTAAACCAACCCTGACCCCCACCTCCCCCCCCCACACACACCAGCTTGTTACCCTACCATCTTCAAGAAGGAATCATTTCTCTACAAGCGACAGAGCTCTTTAAAAACGTCAAGAACAAATGTTCTATATGAAGCAGCTGCTAATTTGTGTAAGTACTTCAAGAAAAATAATTAAAGATTTATCTCTAACAGCTGCTGATTTGTGCAAGCACTAAGAACAAAAGTTCTACCTTTAACAGCTGCTGATTTGTACAAGCCCTTAGAACAAAAGTTCTATCTCTAACAGCTGCTGATTTGTACAAGCCTTAGAACAAAAGTTCTATATCTAACAGCTGCTAATTTGAAGAAATACTTAAAGGTAAAAAAATCTACCTGTAACCGCTACTATGTTCATCAGCCGTCTCATACTGCGGGGGTTGATGTCGCTGAAGTAGTCGTTCTTTGCAAATGTGGAGCTCAGGTCAAATGAGCTGGCGTAGATCATTCCAGGGAGTGACCCAGACAACGATCCTCCCACCATGTGGGTTGACCCCATGGCCCTCGATGCCTTCCTTCCAGACTTGGTGTCGCTGCTGACACTGGTCAGGACAGAGTCTTGCTGCAAGAGATTGATGTACACTGTCACTGGGTTAGTCACATAAACGTGCATCACAAAGCCAGAGCCAAGAATGTACTTTTAATAAGTTGCAATATGATCTGTACATTGCTAAATTTATTTTCATCGAAGTAAGTTGGAGACAAAAGACGGCCGAGCTGGCCATTGTCTTCTATTACTTTTTTTTTTATCTTCCCAACCCCAGTACAGCCAGCCGCATGAATAACTATTGCGTCTTTTCACTCATATAATACAAAATGAAATATTTCAAAAAAGCATATTTGAAAGTATGCTTAACATGTAAATCAATAAACTATTTTACATTTAAAAATCGGCATTAGTAGCTGACATTAAGCTGTCTTACAACCCTACATCTCAGCAGTTCTTAAAAAAAAAAAAATGTAAGTTTTAAAAAATTAACACATTTAATTCTTTTTGTACATTAGTTGACCGGATTAAATCATTTTGGGACATAGATGCCCCACTCATGTCTGAGGCATCTATGTCCCAAAATGATTTAACCCAGTTAACTAATATACATGAGTAATATTTATATCTTGAACTATCCTTGAGATACATCTGATGAGTACTCACTCTCATGGTTTTGGATGGTGAAGTTTCACTTGTGTCCATCAGATTAGATGTGGGTTCACCAGACTGTATCCGCATGCCTTGTGATTGTAAATAGAAGGGCAGATGCACCACATTTCTCAGGTAATCAAAACCGTTGACGTTGGTGTCTTGGAAGGATGTGCGCAGGTTCTGCTCAATGCCTGGTTTCATAGAGACATCAAAGAATTTCATCATAGACTAGGTTACAGTTAGTTTACATTTTTCATTTCTGGAAATACAAAATTCTATTTACTGAAGGTCAGGGAGGGTAGTTTTGATTGCTAACCCCCATGTTATTAGGATCAGAACGATGGTTGTGATACAGACACATATGTTCTTACGATCTGTGTGGTGGGAGGGATACATACATTATTTCCTTAGGATCAACGCTGAGTGGGATCCACGTCCACATGTACATAATTAAATGGATACTTTCCTTACCCTATGCCAAGCTTCAGTTGAGTTATACCAATGTGCAGTATCATTATACCAAGTATTTGTACATGAAATAAACTAACCCTGAGCCTTACCCTTTATAATGATGTGAGGATCAACAGCCAGTATCGTGATGAAAGGAGAGTTGTCGTCAGAGAACAAGGACTTGACCGTGTCCAAAACTTGGAGAACCTTAGGTTACCAAACATAATAAAAGTAAAAAATCAATAATAACACCACTTAACACGACCCAAAAGACCAGGTGAGCGCCATCAACTTTGTCTTATTTAGATTTGGCCAGTGATGAATCCCAGTGCATAATAGTCAATATATTTAAAGAGGGGCTCAAACTGGAGCCAGAGTGTACAAGAGTAGACAACTCCTGGAGTTCACCACTACAGGATGATGGTAGATAAGACAGACACCTTGAGAGTTGTCCATCCTTTGATAAGACTTTATTCAATCAAGGCGAGAGACATTGGGTAGTAAACATGTGGTTACCTTATCCTGCTCACAGCTATCCAGTCCATCCACTATAACAACGAGTCTGGTCTGGTCATCGGTAAAGCTGTCCATACAGTTGACCATTTTACTCATCAAGTCCACCTAGAAACACATAGTATGGTTTAAAATAAAATTATCCTTCAATCTTTTGAAATCAAATTTAAATAAAATATTTCAGGTTTAACTTGTATGATTTATGCCAGGAAGAGGGGGGGGAGGGGGTTTCACATATATAAACAACTGAATTCAATATTAATCTCCTCTCCATTACCATAGATGTTACATTAACACGTGATCAATGATTCAATCTTTCACTCTTACAATTTCACCAGATCTCTGTACTCACTTCTCTTTTCAGATGTTGCATGAATCCATCCATTTTCAAATCCTCCATATGGTCTGCCGCCCTGACCACTCGCTTCTTCTGTGAGAGCACAAGGGCCATGAAGGCCTGACCCCACGTGTACATATTGGCCACAATGGAAAGGCCCACGACACTGGCAAGGGTTATGAGGACGGCGTTCATGGCAACACTACCTTCTATACCGTACCCAACGGCCAGGGCAATGCCGACCAGAATGCAGACCAGCATCAAAAGGACGATGATAAAGTAAGGAATGCAGCAGATGGACTTGAGGCTACTGTTTCTGTTCTCTGGTGAGCAAACATGTATAACAAATAGAATAAATTAGACATGTTTTAAAATCAGAAAATAATACGATGATTGCAGCAGAATAATGAAGACATTGGCATTTTTTAGAGTAAATACATTTTAAGACAGAGACCAGAACAATTGGATTTTTAAACAGACAAAACTACATCATCTAAACCAGTGGCACTAAAGCCCATGTAGGGTTCAGGCCAGCTCCAACAAATCCTTGCAATAGGATAATCAAAGCATGGCTTTTTGCTTCAATGCACAGACTGAAATAAGTCCTTCTCTGCATTATCAATCTATGTAAGTCTTGTTCAACCGGTGTGCCATCAGGCCCTGGGTTTTTGCCAGTGAACCGGTGTGCCATCTGGCCCTGGGTTTATGCCAGTGAACCAGTGTGCCATCTGGCCCTGGGTTTATGCCAGTGAACCGGTGTGCCATCAGGCCCTGGGTTTATGCCAGTGAACCGGTGTGCCACCTGGCCCTGGGTTTATGCCAGTGAACCGGTGTGCCACCTGGCCCTGGGTTTATGCCAGTGAACCGGTGTGCCACCTGGCCCTGGGTTTATGCCAGTGAACCGGTGTGCCACCTGGCCCTGGGTTTATGCCAGTGAACCGGTGTGCCATCTGGCCCTGGGTTTATGCCAGTGAACCGGTGTGCCACCTGGCCCTGTGTTTATGCCAGTGAACCGGTGTGCCACCTGGCCCTGGGTTTATGCCAGTGAACCGGTGTGCCACCTGGCCCTGGGTTTATGCCAGTGAACCGGTGTGCCATCTTGCCCTGGGTTTATGCCTGTGAACCGGTGTGCCATCTGGCCCTGGGTTTATGCCAGTCATCACTTTTGCCACATTACAATCGAGTGTCCTCTCAAAATACAAAGCACAGAAAAATTGGATTTTTCTAAAGACCAAAATACTCACTGCTTAAATGTGGCTTGAACACTCTGAAAAGTCTGGCTATAAATGCCCCATACTCTTTTTCTACAGCATCACATAATGTGCCTATCATGGCCGCCAGAGATTTCTCCCCTCCAACACTGGTCAGTCGGGTGCAGTCAGAGAACAAAAATCTGATCAAGGCAACAGAAATGGGAGATAATTAATAACTTCGAGAATAGAGAGATGTGTGTGCAATGTCAAGGTGAAATGAAAGCAAATCAATTTGACAGTACCTTTAAAATGAACTTTACTTAATTTTGACTTCAATGATGTGCAATAAAAATTCCATCCATTACCTGGCAGAGAACTGAGCCCCTGATAGCCAGTCTAATCCCTTCCATTACCTGACTAAGCCCTTGATAGCTTGTCTAATCCCCTTCCATTACCTTACAGAGAACTGAGCCCCTGATAGCCTGTCAAATCCGCTTTGATTACCTGACAGAGAACTGAGCCCCTGATAGCCTGTCTAATCCCCTTCCGTAAACCTTACAGAGAACTGAGCCCTTGATAGCCTGTCTAATCCACTTCCATTACCTGACAGAGAACTGAGCCCCTGTTAGCTCGTCAAATCCCCTTCAATTACCTTACAGAGAACTGAGCCCCTGATAGCCATTCTAATCCCCTTCCATTACCTGGCAGATAACTGAGCCCCTGATAGCAAGTCTAATCCACTTCCATTACCTGACAGAGAACTAAGCCCCTGATAGCTTGTCTAATCCCCTTCCATTACCTTACAGAGAACTGAGCCCTTAATAGCCTGTCTAATCCCCTTCAATTCCCTGACAGAGAACTAAGCCCCTGATAGCCTGTCTAATCCCCTTCAATTCCCTGACAGAGAACTAGGCCCCTGATAGCCTGTCTAATCCCCTTCAATTCCCTGACAGAGAACTAAGCCCCTGATAGCCTGTCTAATCCCCTTCAATTCCCTGACAGAGAACTAAGATCCTGATAGCCTGTCTAATCCCCTTCAATTCCCTGACAGAGAACTGAGCCCCTGATAGCCTGTCTAATCCCCTTCCATTACCTGACAGAGAACTGAGCCCCTGATAGCCTGTCTAATCCCTTCCATTACCTGACAGAGAACTGAGCCCCTGTTAGCCTGTCAAATCCCCTTCAATTACCTTACAGAGAACTGAGCCCCTGATAGCCATTCTAATCCACTTCCATTACCTGACAGAGAACTGAGCGCTTGATAGCTTGTATAATCCCCTTCCATTACCTTACAGAGAACTGAGCCCCTGATAGCCAGTCTAATCCCTTCCATTACCTTACAGAGAACTGAGCCCATGATAGCCTGTCTAATCCCCTTCCATTACCTGACAGAGAACTGAGCCCCTGATAGCCATTCTAATCCCCTTCCATTACCTTACAGAGAACCGAGCCCCTGATAGCCTGTCTAATCCCCTTCCATTACCTGACAGAGAACTGAGCCCTTGATAGCTTTTCTAATCCCCTTCCATTACCTGACAGAGAACTGAGCGCCAGATTGCATATCTAATCCCCTTCCATTACCTGACAGAGAACTGAGCCCCTGATTGCCTGTCTGCCAACTGTTTCTGTTTAGGTATACAGAAGAGCATCTTGATGAAGAGTTGCAGCAACTTCTGTTTCCTGCCGAGTGCCACACTCATACGATTGGTGGCAGAGAAGTCGTACTTCTTGGAGAACAATATCACCAGGCCTGGAGGACAAAAATATACAAATGGCATGTCTTTAACTGAAGCATTTCATTAAAGCCTCCTGTATAACAGAAGAAACAGGGTAGGGATCATGATTACTATGTCGCAGATGACAGATATGAGGCATTGAGGTGGCTAGTTCCTAGGCAACCATTTCCTTCTAGCTAGTTCCTAGGCAACCGTGTCCTGCTAGCTAGTTCCTAGGCAACCGTTTCCTCCTAGCTAGTTCCTAGGCAACCGTGTCCTCCTAGCTAGTTCCTAGGAAACCGTGTCCTCCTAGCTAGTTCCTAGGCAACCGTTTCCTCCTAGCTAGTTCCTAGGCAACCGTGTCCTCCTAGCTAGTTCCTAGGCAACCGTGTCCTCCTGGCTAGTTCATAGGCAACCGTTTCCTCCTAGCTAGTTCCTAGGCAACCGTTTCCTCCTAGCTAGTTCCTAGGCAACCGTGTCCTCCTAGCTAGTTCCTAGGCAACCGTGTCCTCCTAGCTAGTTCCTAGGCAACCGTTTCCTCCTAGCTAGTTCCTAGGCAACCGTTTCCTCCTAGCTAGTTCCTAGGCAACCGTGTCCTCCTGGCTAGTTCCTAGGCAACCGTGTCCTCCTGGCTAGTTCCTAGGCAACCGTTTCCTCCTAGCTAGTTCCTAGGCAACCGTGTCCTCCTAGCTAGTTCCTAGGCAACTGTTTCCTCCTAGCAAGTTCATCAACTATTTACGAGACAGAAACCCACTGTAGAAAACCTATGACTAGAGGTACGATGCTTCCCTAGGATGGGCGGGGCAGGGGGGGGAAGATATTAGGATGTCAATGCATCATCCCAAACAACACATTCAACCAACCCGATGTTCTTAGGCTGAGATGGCAGTGAAGTTAAGGGCTGGTGCTGTCCTAGTAGGAGGAGATCTCCAATGTGACGTTTTGGGGCCAGAGAGTTAGGGGACTTTTCTGGTTTGAAAATAAAGAGAGCGGGGGGGGGGGGGGCTTTTGGGGGGGCATTAAGAGCTTTGACTTGACAGCTTGCTGACACCATTTCCTAATATACATACTAAAGCCTTCTGGGAGTGTTGAAAATATACACCAAAATTTTCTCTTAATGAAAAGAGAGACTCTAAATCCAAATCTACAGATACACATAGCTGATTAAAAATGTTTAGCTCTGCAGTATTCTGCAAACCAGAGATATAACAAAATGAGCAACAGAATATTATTCCCAAACCAACATATTTAAACACCCATATGAAATATATAGAAATGCAAGACAAAACAATATATGTACAGACATCTAAACATAAAAATAAACATTTTTCTTTGCTTGGTTTCGAGATTATCTAAGGTTCACAATTGTTTCCCACTTTCCTGAAATTAAATGCACAAAATTATTTGACCCATTGAAAGCTTGGAAAATATTCTCACCAATAAAACCAAACTCCAGTGGAATTAACCCCAGGCCTATAGCCAGACCAAACTTCCAACCAAACGCCAGGCCAAACGTTTCCCCGAGGACGACGTTGATGAGCAGCAGAAGGAAGGCGATGAGCCAGGACCACGTCAGCTCTGCCTGGCTGTTCTGTTGGGTGAATGACATCATCTCCCCTGGACAGTACAAATCAAGAGTTATGTATAGAAAAGTTGAGATTAACCTAGGTCAAAGGTTATGCTAATATAAGTTGAAAGGGTAGGCTATGAATAAGAACTTTTTTTTCTGTGATAATATAGCACAATTTTAAATAACTTTAATCTCCATTTGTTCTTGGTTTTTTTAAAATCTTAATTATGACATTTAAATGTGTTACAAACAATCATAAAATGTTGAAATATGTATTCAGAATAAAACACATTGTTTGAATGTAAAAAGAGCTGACCTCTGAGCTTATCTAATAGAAAGGATTTGCCACTGCCCCACTTGGCGTAGAGTCCCATGGTTATTGGGGTGATGAGGCAGGGTTCACTCAGGATGTCAGCCAGGGCAGAGCTGTAGATTTCATAGCCCAACAAATTCTCAGCGTCCGTTGCATTCAGGTTACCTGGTAGATCAAGTGCGCATTCAAAAGATCAAGTCTGGGCAACATTGGTCTTTCTCGTAAAGTGAGAATTCAAGTTAAGGGATGTACAAGGATACAAGATTTCATATGTACAAGGATACAAGATTTCATATGTACAAGGATACAAGATTTCATATGTACAAGGATACAAGATTTCATATGTACAAGGATACAAGATTTCATATGTACAAGGATACAAGATTTCATATGTACAAGGATACAAGATTTCATATGTACAAGGATACAAGATTTCATATGTACAAGGATACAAGATTTCATATGTACAAGGATACAAGATTTCATATGTACAAGGATACAAGATTTCATTCA